TGCTCTGCGGGAGGCCTGCTTCTCCCTCTCCCACTCTCCCTGCTTGTGTTCCCTCTCTCGCTGTGTCTCTCTCTATCAAATAAATAAAATCTTTTAAAAAAAAAATAAAAATTATGTACCCGAAGGAAAATGTATTTATCGTAATCTCTTCAAATTTGCTCTATTTATACAGCTCATATTTTCCACATGGGGTTTTGGAATGTTGATAAATTGTGTTCTAAAAAATAGGCCAGTTGATCATAAAGACAACTGCTTCATTGACCAATCAGAATAAGATGATAAGAATTGGGATTAAGTCCTCCGTACTTTTGCTTCATAATTTGGGAAAATTGCATCTGCCAACCTGTATGTGCTGGGGAGAGAGCACTGTGTAGGGTTAACAGTGGGGGCTCTAAGTTCAAATATCTACTTTGCCACATGCTGACTATAACCTCGCACAAGTTACTTAATCCTCATCTGTGAAGAACGGATAACAATAGTACTTACCTTATGGGGTGATTGAGATAATACCTGTAAAGCACTTAGAACAGAACCTGGCACATTAAAAAAAAAAAAAGCTAAAAAAATGGCATCATTGTTATTATGCTGTTGGCATTGTTTGTTTCATAAGTGGTTTATAACTTAGTCATCCTTGTTTCTTAAGAATGTAGGAGATTAAAGGCTGCCTATATGTGTTGAATTTCTAATTTCTCAATCATAGTATCATTTTTCCTACCTGTTTTTGAGGTAAATTAAGCCAGGTGGAATAAAGAAAAGCAAGTTGTTTTAAATGGGTCTAAATCCCCATAAATAATGCTGTGGTATCTTACAAGACAGAAGAGTTTGCTCCTACAGGCTTAGATCTCTTGACTGTGAGTCCTTCATGTGGAAGCAAATTGAAGCCAAGTGCTTAAGCACAAAGAATAAGAGTTCAAAAAAAATTTCCGCGGCATGTTGTCTTCACCTCCTATCATATGCTTTTCTTGTTTTTTGACATATGTAGATTTTTTTTCTATTCATAACGAATGAAGTTGCATGTTACTTGGGCAAAATGGATAAGTCTTAAATGAGAAAATAAGTAGATCAGCCTAATGGTGTTTTTAGTGGTATAATAAATACATTTCTCTTTGTTCCTAGATGTCTTCAAATGCAAGTGAAGTTAAGCGTATTCCAGTAAGTATAGATTTTTGACTGGTACACAGATATTTATAGAATTATTCTAAGCAGTGATCTACATAAACTGTCCTGGGGAACCTTAATGTCATAGTATTTCCGACAGTCATGTTTGATGGCACCATGGTCCAGTTAATGATAACTAAGACTTTAACTCATTGAAACTATTGCTCCTTCCCTTACCCTATTTCCCCCCCACAATTAATAATTAATACTTCTCCAACTACAAGCTCCTACACGTACCTTTCCCTTTTTTGTGATGATTTCCTCCTTCTGATTTTTTTCTGGCCTAGAAAATTCAGTTTAACCATCAGTGCAATTTCATGTTCCTCAAAGCATGGAGAGTTTTTGGGGTTTGGGAGTGTTAGCTTCCCAAACAAAGCTGAGTGTTCATTCTTCCAAGGTTTTTTGTAGGACAACATTCAATGTTTTGGAAAGTGCAAGCATGTTTGTTCACACAAGCAAGCTTATAATTTTGGAAGTTATAGAAAAAGGGGGCTGGGGGGCGCCTGGGTGGCTCAGTCAGTTAAGCGGCTGCCTTCAGCTCAGGTCATGATCCCAGAGTCCTGGGATCGAGTCCCACATCCTGCTCCCTGCTCAGTGGGGAGTCTGCTTCTCCCTCTACCCCTACCCCCCACTCATGAGATCTCTCTCTCTCTCATGCTCTCTCTCTCAAATAAATAAAGTCTTAAAAAAAAATTTAAAAAAGGAGGGGGTCTGGTAATCCAGTTTGCCTTGAAATGGAAGAAAAGCCCTTCTACCTTCTCAAGATAATATTCCTGATTTTTTTTCTAATATTGTCATTAATTTTTGCTAACTATAGCCACATTAATTGTTTGGAATGTTCAACATCAGTTGGCTTGATAAAAATTTCATTGGGGCGTCTGGATGGCTCAGTCGTTAAATGTCTGCCTTCGGCTCGGGTCATGATCCCAGGGTCCAGGGATCGAGTCCTGTGTTGGGTTCCCTGCTCAGCGGGGAGCCTTCTCCCTCTCCCACTCCCCCTGCTTGTGTTCCCTCTCTTGCTGTCTCTCTCTCTGTCAAATAAATAAATAAAATCTTTAAAAAAAATTAAAAAAAATAAAAATTTTATCAAATATTGGTATTATAATATGCTCTAATATCCTTCCCTGTTTTACCTCCTTCATCACCCCAAAACATTCTGGTAGGAACTTTCGTCTCTTTCCTATCTCCAGGGTGAGTGGGATAGTGAGCAAAAAGGAATTGCTCTTTATAATTCACTTTGAATCCTTCATCAAAGTACTAATGTTTATTACCATAATTTGCTTGGCTGAGAAGAATACTTCAACATGAGAAAGCCCATGCACAACTACAGCCCACTAAAAACGGTCATACAAGAGCTATCCTTTTGACAATATAATGACTCTACTGTTACTCTTACTTGAGTAACCATAAGGAAATTCAGGGCTTTAACCAGCTTCCCACTGTTGTTATAAAGATTGTATGTAATGTACCTGCTAATCACTAAGTACATAGTAATCCCCTCTGGTGGTTTTTTTGTTTTGTTTTGTTTTGTTTTTGGTGAGATAGGCTGAGAAACAAGTGTTACAGGCTTCTTGCTTATTCCGGGAGCCCCAGAATGCTTTCCCAGTTTATCAGTGTGCCTGGGTTCTGCATTAAAACAAATCAATTATAAACAGAGAAGGAGAAATATCTTCCTTTTTAAATTTGGGACTCTTCAACTGCTGTCCTATTTCGGAGTTAGATTTGCATGGTAGGGAGCAGGACCTTCATTTTGTCCCTTAGGGAAATTGTAGGTTCTCCACCAGCAAACCGTCTTCTGAACTTTGGCAATTCTGATAGTGTCATTCTTTACTGTTTCGTACAGGAGGGGGAGAAGTGGGAGGATGGCCCTTGCAAGGTGTGTGAGTGCTGGGGCTCTCAGGTCACTTGCTACGAGCCCTCTTGTTCACCGTGTCCAGTGGCCACACTATCCCAGGTGGTGAAGGGACGGTGCTGTCCAGACTGTACGTCAGGTGGGTCCGTGTCTGATTTATTTCTGCCGAGATATTTTTACTGCCACAAACTTCAGAGAGATCTTCTTTTTCCCTTCATGCTTTTTTTTTTTTTTCAAGTCACCTACTAGGTTGGTTGGTTGGTTTGTCCCTTGCTAATTTTTTTACCAAATGATGTTACTGAATCTTTGTCTATGTATTTGCCAAACTCAACAGATTATGGGTATGTGCTCTTGGGCAAGTCCTTGACCCTCTCTAAATCTTAATTACCTCATTGGTAAAATGTGCCTTACCTACCTTGAAAAAATTATTATGGATATCAGCATAAAGTAGGGAAACTTGCAAAGGCAAATATATGTGTTAGGACTGTTCCGTTGTTGAAGCTGTAGGAACAATGGCTGAAAGTTTGTTACAGGTGTCCATTTTTTTTTTTTTTTTAAGGTGAGCTATTAAACAGATGGTTCCTTTTGGAGTTCTCAAATGGGTTTTTGAAGTTTAAAGACTCATTAATTTCTTCCAAAAGAAAATTTTATCTACTTGTTCTGCAACTCTGCTTTCAAATCACCTGGGGTTGTATTAGTTCCAGTTAATAATTGTTGGCAAGCACTGGCGTTGCTCTGGCTGGGCAGTAATTTGCCTATAAGCTTAGTCTCACTTGGAAAAGTGGCATTTTCTTCCATTCGTATTTCATAATTAATTGTTTTCATCTGTGGGTCACAATTTTTCATATTGGCAGTTACTTTTGTTGCGTTCAACTTATTTTGGCTAATCACAGTGTTTCTATGAAGAGCTTATCATGGGAGAAGCGAAGCAACTCTATGGTTTAATTATCTTACCTTTAGCAATGTGGCTCCCTGGGCTTTCCAGAACAACTATTTAGCATATTAAAATGTACTATACCTTAAAAATCAAGTTCTTGACAACTTCAAAACCTGAAAGAAGTCCTTTGCTGACAATTGCCACTGAATTCAATGATAATCCCAGTTGTTGGGAATGAGATTTGAATTTTGGAGAAAAAGAAGAAAGCCTTTTTTTAGAAAAAAAGAAGAAAGCTTTTTTTGAGAAAATAACTTTTGTAAAATTGTGTTTTGTCTTAACTTTCTATGCATGCCAAAGCTTAAGAAGAACGTCGAAGAGGGCGCCTGGGTGGCTCAGTTGGTTAAGCGACTGCCTTCGGCTCAGGTCATGATCCTGGAGTCCTGGGATCGCGTCCCACATCGGGCTCCCTGCTCAGCAGGGGGTCTGCTTCTCCCTCTGCCCTCTTCCCTCTCGTGCTCTCTGTCTCTCATTCTCTCTCAAATAAATAAATAAAATCTTTAAAAAAAAAGAAGAACATCTAAGAAATCATAAATTATTGAATTCATTTAAATCATATATTACCGAGCTGGTAATTCCTGTTTGTAGAGGCATTCCAGCAGGTAGAAGCATTAATAGGACCGTTCAGTCATGTTTTTAGTGTCTTCAATTTGTAGCTACCAGAGACAGTAATAATATTTCAGACAAGGAGAGGTTCTTTGAAATCTTGCACTGAAATCACTTTTGCTATTTGGGGGCTTTTTTCATACCTAAGTTCCAGAGTTTTCTGTTCTTCATATTCTATACAACTGCATATACTCTGTAGATTCTTTTCTGGAAGAATGTAAAAGAAATCCTATGGTCTTTACTAAATTCTCTCTTCTTTGTCCCTGATTATAGTTCGTTGCCACCCAGACTGCTTGACCTGCTCTCAGTCTCCGGAGCATTGTGACCTGTGTCAGGACCCCACAAAGTTGCTGCGGAATGGACAGTGTGTACATAGCTGTGGTCTGGGATTTTACCAAGCTGGAGCTCTCTGTTTAGGTATGGCTCTGGGCAGACAGCCCAGATGTGGACTGAGGCCCACTGCTGTCAAGGAGGGGGTCCATGCATGCAGGAAATGCACAACGTCCAAAGACCATTAGAGGGTAGTAACATCGGCCATGAGTTACTTGGCATCTCTACCCGAAGGTCTCTTGCTTCTAACATTTCACAGGTGTTTTGATGCTTACTGAGAGGCGATGTGGAGGTCAGATGTTACTAAGTAGTCGTGATATGATTTTTCATTTTTTGAAGACTTTCAAAGTTAGTAATATCTCTGGGATTCTTGGTGTCATTTATTACAACACTCAGTTAATCCAAGATAGAACTTTAGAACTGACATGTGCATTTGAGATCTCTTACTAGAACTTTCTCATTTTGCAAGTGGGGAACGTGGGGGCCAGAGAAATCAACTGGTTTGCTCAACATCACACAGATAATCGATAGTAGAGCTTATCTCCTGTGAGTTACTGGGAGATCCAGAACGGGTTCATGTCAATTTTCAGAGTTCTTATGCATCTGAGAAGATCTTACCTGGCAGAATTTGGCTTGTTTGAGGCCAGATCATCGTTACTTTTTCTCCTATCTCTGACTCATGGAGCTAATTATCCATTTAAGAGTGTGTTGTTTTATACCCCAGCTGTGAGTATTTAGCTGCTCTGTGCCTCAATATTCTTATCTGTAAAGTGGAGTAATACTGACTAGTACCTTCTTCAGAGAGTTCTTATGAGGATTAAGTGTGTTAATACACATGAAGTGTCTAGAATAGTTTCTAGGATATTGTCAAGCCTCAATAGAGCTTAACTGCTTTTATTATTTTTGTAATTATTTACTTCTCCCTACTTTCCTGATTCCTAATCTTTAGCCTTTTTGAAAGTTATTTCTATCTCTGCCATGGGTTGTGGAAGAAAAGAGACAAGGGATATTCTTAGGAAATGGTTGAGGGAGAAAGATATTGGGGGCTATTGGATAAGAAGAGCAGACTCAGCAGCCCCTGGCTTCAAATGCCAGGTTCACATGACCTTGGACAAGTGACTTAATCTCGGGGAGCTTGTTCCTCATGTGAAAAATGGGGGTTAATAATATCTACCCAGAGGCTTGTTGTGAAGATTAAATGCATTCCTACATAGAAAGCACTTCATGCAGAGCTTGGCATGAAATATGTGCCATATAAATGAAGGCTGGTAAAGTGACTCTCCTGCTTTTCTTGTTCTCGGTGTCTCCAGAGCCTCAGAATTGGGCTACATAAGAATTGGCACTGGGGTGGCATCTTTGAGCTAATCAGAGCTGCCCCTTTTTTCTTTCCCCCACCTGTGCCCGGAGCTAGCCTGCCAGCCTCAGTGCTCCACGTGTACCAGTGGGCTGGAGTGCTCGTCCTGCCAACCTCCACTGCTGATGCAGCATGGCCAGTGTGTGTCCAGCTGTGAGGACGGCTTCTACCAAGACCGCTACTCCTGTGCAGGTAAGCCCTGGCCCAGCCACCGAGAAAGCCACCCCCACCTCCAAGAGATCTGGGGCCACCAGGAGCTGTGAGCAGTTTTTCAAGTATTGAGAAGAAACTCTGAGCGAGACTCTTGATGGGCCGAGAACTGTGGATGAGAGAGATGACACATGTTTTTATAAGCTTATTAGTGCTTTGGTGATGTGTGCGTGTGGTAAGATTTCTCGAAGTCCTTCTGCACATGCCTAGGGGCCCTGGAACAGTTCTTAATTCAGATCAGGGTGGTCATTGTGTCGTAAGTCCGATTCCTTCCTTGTGTGCATACACAGTGCTTAAATGAAAATGAAGGGAGAAACAGATCTATATTTTTTCAAAACTTTATTTCTACTTGAAGAGTGAAGGAGAAACAGAAATAAGCAAGTGACATCATGATAGGAAACTTGGACAAGCAAAACAGATGATGGCATTTACATTTACTCTTACTTTAGTATCTCTATACTTTAGTAGCTTTGTGTGTCTAAATTAAGAACTCGTCGAACTTCTTAATATTATCATAGTCTCTGGAAGTCAGAGTGGTCTTAGTGCAATTTGTTGCTTATACTGGGCCATTTTTTCAGTAGTGATTATAATCTTGAGTATAAGTAAAAAAGTAAATGTATAAAGAATGTTTTAAATGCAGGAATAGGAAAAAAAAAATAAATGCAGGAATGGGAGATGGGGTGGAAGCAAAGACAGAGGGTGGAGTTCTAAGCTTATCTGCAGGAGACAGAGGATCAGGTGTGCTCAGAACCTAAGGCAGGGTGCTCAGTGGCAGGCAAACCTGAAAAGGCAGACAGGCCAGAGGGAGGGTCTTAGGTGTCTTACAAGGAACTGTGGTAGCTAGGTTCTGCAGCTGAGCAGGACAGGGTGCAGAGATGTGATGAGCATTGAAGGTGGGCCAGTCTGAGGGTCAGCTCATATGCTTCCTCCTTTTATGCTCTTGGTTAGATTTTCAGGAGGATCATTTGGAGGGAATAGAGTAAAAAAGAGTAAGTGCATGGTATTTACTGGCTCTGCGGGCTGAATGAGCTCTGTGGTATGTGAGGTCCTATGTGGAAAGTCTGCTGGCCTCCATTCCAGGTTGTGCGCAGAAGCAGGATCCACAGGCTGATGGAAACCATCTTGAAGGGAAACACTGGTACTGTTTATGTCGTACAAATAGGAGGATGGCAGGACCTACTCTGGAGCCAATTACATTGAGAATAGAAGACATGCTAGCTCTCTGCAACCCGTAAAAATATCTTCTGTATCCCCAACGTCAAGGGCTGCACAAAGTGTTCAGCATTTGTTCAGCAGTTTGTTGAACAAGTGTTTGATGAATGAAGAAACGTATTACCCTTTGGGGATCTTTGAAGGACCAGTGTTTCAATAGGAGTCTCAGCCATAAAAGATGAAAGAACCCTTAATGTTTCTTACTTATCATGTTCTATTTACCTTTACTTTAGAACAGGCTTAAAGTGGGCACATCCAAACACCTTCCTAAGTATATAATGGTTGGGCAGTTTAGGTAAACTGCTAAAATTTCAATTTGATGAAGTTACTGAATGTAGTCTCTTCTCCTTTCTTCTATCCCATCAAAGAGACCGCCTGCTAGCACTCCTGTGACAGATTTGCCTTTAAAAAGGGAATTAATTCCCCCTAGATTTTATTCTTCCCTCCGTAACACCTCCCCCCATCCACACATCCCACATACATATTTACTTTTTTCTCCCTTTCTTTTGGGGGGCCATTTTCCTTTCTCCCATTCCCGGTGTTTTAGTGGGGGATGTTCATCCTGTTATAGGGCACTTTGAAATGGGTAATGTTTCATTTGATTACTGGTTTACGTAGCTGACTGCTTCCACATTCCATCCACATACCCATACACAAATGCCTCTGGTAGAAAGTTGCTGGGAAAATTTGTTCATGCTCCCTCCAGGGAATTAAACCAATTTGCTTTAGTTCAGCCTGGTTGCATTTTTATGCATAAAATGAGAAGAAAGAAGAGAGCAAGAAGAGAGAGAGAGCGAGAATGATCTTAAAAATTAAAGCTAAACTTGTGATCAATTTCCATATACTGTTTCAATGCTGAGACAGCCCAAATAAGCTTTCCAAATAAGCTTTCTCATTATTGGAATTTTTTGCAACATTTGTGCTTGTGCTATTTTTGGTGGCTTTTCACCACTGACCTTGGAATTCGGTCAGTCAACCAGGGCTCTTCCAGCACATGCTGAATTTTCCAAGGAGAAGCCTGCCATTTAATGGTAACAACAGGTTTTTCTGGATTGATTCCTCTTGGCAGGGTCATTTATGTGGTGACCGGCATAATTTGCCACTTTATTGACCCATCAAAACCAAAAGAAAGTGAACACTGTGCTGAGGAAATTAATTACCAGAAGTTTACTGGAAATTACCTAATATTCATGCTCACTGTGTCGAATACAGGGCTGAGAGACAAATATGGGGCAGAGCCAAGTGGCACATAAACACATGGCTCTTCAGCACGAGAGTGGGAGCAGGTGTACCAGAGGTTCGAAAGAAGGCTTGGGGTCCTGCCAGAGAATTGCATCCTCAGGGGTCCTTATCATTTTCCCTTTTCCCTTGAGTTTTGTGGTATATACTCCCATACACACAGGGGCAGATGAATGTGTTTGTGTGTGTGCAGATATTAATGTTATTACTACATTCTTGTGCTTGGTTAAACTGAATAGTGTTGTAAACACAGACCACATTATGCACCCGCATACCAGTCACTGCTTTATTTCCTCGGCCTTCCCTGATTTTGGAGTTTGATGCTTCGATCGCTTCACCTGAAGGCTCAGCACCAGCCAGTCTTTGTACCAATCTAAGTCAGGGACAGACAAGATAGACATGGCCCCTTCTCTACAGCAGGTAGGGCCAAAGAGTAGTCACCTTCTCAGGGACCAGAACTCATTTTTTAGACCTGGCACTTGGGCTTCTGCCTTAACCCCTAGGCTTCCTCTGCCACCAGCTGGATCTGGTCCAACATCCGTGTTGCCCACCCTGTCCCACTCTTCTTGACCCTGTGGACATCAGGTTCTGGACTGGACTTCTCCTTTGGTTCCTTCTACCTTGTCTGTTGTGACCCATTTCCAGGAATTAACAGCCTGTCCCTGAGTCACCCCAGCCTGATGGTCAGGCTTGACCCAGGTAAGGATGCTCCTTGCTTGCCCCATCTACCACATGACCTTGTACCTTTCCTGCATGGCTCTTGGGTACCACTTGTCCTGGATTTATTGTGGTCTCTCTACCAGAGTGGTGGTTCCATTACCTCTTCTTAGAAACCCTGTTATGGAATCTAACTCTGGATCCAGACTCAGCTCACCATGCCCTGAAAACATTCTTCCTTACCTGTCTTGCCCCTCTTTTCAGTCAACCCCTGTTCCACTCTGGTGGGACCGCTGAACTATTGCACACACAAATCCTAGGCATGGGAGCCCATGAAAAAAAAAGTTGAAAACAACCAAACTAACACACACCATGCAGGATTCGTTTAAAAAAAGTAGTTCATAAGACTATAACTTTGAGTAAAGAAAGAGTAGAATTTAGCCCGTTTTTACACGTGAGTCAGTGTTTGATTTGTCCGATCCAAACTTCCAGTATTCACAAAGGCCCGAGGATGGAGCTATGCGTACCCTGTGCCAAGTGCTCCCTTCATTCTGCAAACCCAGAGATGGGAGGGAGTGTGACACAGTGCTTAAGACCGTAGGCTTGGGAGCCAAACCACCGGGATTCCAGTCTTGGCTCTGTCACTACAAACAGTATTTTTTTTTTAAACTCCACACTTCAATTGCCTATGGGTAAAGCAGCAACAGTAATGTCTGCCATATAGCCTGGTTGTAAGGATTAGAGGAATAAATTCACATATGTCATTTAGGATGGTGCCTGGCATTTAGTAAGCCCTCCATATGGGAGACTTGTATTTCTTCTTTTCATTGTCCTTCTTCCCCGTTCCATTTCGCTCTCTCCTACATTCATTCTCCTTTGAGCACTGCTTGAGGTCCTGAGGATATGAAAAGAAATAAGACTCTATCATAGGGTTTCCTATCAGTGAGCTTGCAATCAAGGCAGGGTTAGCTGCTGGTTACAGGGATGTAAAGAAATAGTCACATAAACCTGCAAATCTGTGCAGTTTATTCTATATCTGATTGCTGTGTAGTCTTAGACTTTGAAGCTTGAAGAACCAAGCAATTGAACATTTACAGGTTTGTATGAAGGGGGGAATCATTTTGATTCTTACCTCTGCCACTTACTGCTATCTGGCTTTGCATGGGCCATTTAACTGCTTTGAGCCTCAATTTCCTCAACTGTAAAATGGGGACAATGTCATCTACTTTAAACCATTATGATGAACACTAGAAAAGATGTTTGAAAAACATAAATATGTTATGCCTGGCACATAGTGTGTGGACAGCAAAAGGCAGCTGTTGTCATCGAATCTGTTCCTTTATTTTTCAATTTATGGGAATGAAAATCAAATTGCTTACATTAAGAAACAGAGTTTTGTGCCATTTGCGTCTGATTTCAAATAAAATCTACTTTCATATGTTATGGAGAAGTAAATATAGGGAACAGTTTACTATATTCATCACAAGTTAAAATCCTTTTATTTTTTTAAAATGCTCAGATTAAGTGTTGAGAGTCTGGAATTTTGTTTCTTAGCCAATACTATGGTATAATTAGAGGGAAAACTTAGGGTAACTGAGCCTGGTAAATTTACATAGGGGATGCTGACCTAGTTGAGATTTAAAAGCTGTAGTTTGAACAGAGGAACTTGTAAAGTTAATTATTTGTTGGAATTTTGTTTGACCAGAGCAGCCCAGCCATTTGTGGAAATGAAGCGCTGACCCTTGGAGCCACAGGTCCAAGGCAGTGAAGACTTAATGGGTCTTGGCATTATGTTCCAGCATGTGGCTTAGCTCAGTCTGGTTGTGCCCGGGGCAGAGCTCTTGGCAAAGGCATTTATGAAACTGCTGTTCTGG